AAGTCAGTGAAAGAAAGGGGGTGTGGAAGAGAAACTCTTTAACATTGCTCAAGAAAATAGTTTTCAGTCAGACTCCAGTACTGCCTAATTCCTGTCTGCATCAGCCCAGTTAAAGCTGCCTGTGCTTAGGGGCGATTGGCAGTCTGCTCTGGGTTCCTTCACTGCACTGCTAATCTCCACTAATACTCTCCCATGCTTCATTTAATTTCACTCTCAGGGCTCTTTTTCAAATTCTTCCTCAAATCTTAAACCAATGCTCTCATTGTTTAGGATTCCTTTACCCTGACAAGTCTGACCTCAGATATCCTTTCCTCTTTCCTCCTCTGTAACTCAGGCAGTCCACTTACTCATTCATATGGTAACCTCACATAATGGTCTCCACATTAATTAAGTAATTTTGGTTCTTTAAGGTACTACAGAGAGGTTTTCAGTGCCTTTCAGGCCAATTGAACTATTTTTTTTTGTTGAACAGACTGGAGAGTACATGGTAGAAGAGCCAAGGAGAACATTCTCGCTCTCCCTCTGGGCCATTCCTTTCATGCTGCTTCGGGGTTAGGCCAAAACAACATCAGCAAGTCTAATTTGCCCCAGCAGCGGATGGGAAATGACTAAAAACCCTGCAGATTAATTTGTGTCAGATGTATGCTTTAAAGCAAGTGAGAGCAAGAGAGAATGTGAGAGCATTTACAGAAAAACATGCTCTTTCTCTGGGATTTAGAAGGGCCCTCTTGTTTCAGGTCTCTTGGGAACTGAGTGGCCCCAGGCAAAGGAAAAGTCCTACCTTTGCTTTATGTTCTCCTTTTGTATTTGATGCTTTTCAGTAATCAGAAAATTCAGAAAAAAATGAGAGGGATAAAAAGAAGCAAAACTGTACAATACATAATTGGCTTTGCAGTGTCTGCAGAGTCTTCTAGCAAAGATAGTTTTGCACCATACAGGTAAGACGGTCAGAAAAAAAAAGGGCCTCGGGATTTTTTTTGAAGGGTGAGGGTTGTGTCCCACATCACTCCAGGAAAAGTGAAACATGGTGGAAACCTCATGTCACTCTGGAAAACAGTAATGATTAGTGTTACATAATCAATAACCTAATAGGACAAACTGCAGATCAATACATGATCCTGACTGGGAAGCACAGGTCCAAAGCAGTTTTTCTACTGAAACAGTAGACCTCAAGTTGCTCTCTGATGGCCAGATGTGATCACCCCACTGTGATATTCTAACAGGACGAATCCTGGAGTGACCATGAAAATCCAGCAACTGTAATAGTTAGTTTGGTGCTACTTAATGCAACTTAGTTAGGAATAAATTTTTCTGTACATTACTAACACATGACCTGAAAAACAGCATAACTGGCACTCGTTAGGCCTTTTAGTGGTTAAGCTTCTCACTGGTATTCCCAGCAAGGCCAAGAACAGTCATCTCTGTGTCCAATCTCTCTGGTTAATGGCATTGCGACACTGGAGATGAGTCATGTGTGTGCTATCACTGTGCAGTAACATTTCTGTTCCTAAATTAAATAGATTTAATTTTGTACATTCTTGGAACTCATATCCAATCTGATCTGCTCACCACATCTAAAAGGATTTGTTTACTTTTTAGGCAGCCTTGCTGTTTAGATCTCAGATGACTGCCTCAAAAATTCTAGGGAAACTCAAAATAAGTCTCAAAGTGCAACATTAGCATGGACTTACTTCTGGTGAGCAACATGTCTGCTTCAAAAGCTTCAAACCTTACTCTTCATTCACACTGTTCCTCATTCTTGTCTTATTTTTATGAGACAGAAATAATAACACCCAAAGTCCTACCCAAAGTCTGAACCCCAATCTGATCTGGCAGCATAAATATAACCACAGAAAAGTCTTCCAAGAGCCAAAGAGACAAAAAGCCCCAATCTAAAAAGAAAGCAAAGCTTTGTGGAATTAAACCTTAAATCTCAGTTTCAAAACAGACTAGTACTTAGGAGCCTGTCACAACTTTCAACACGACGTCAGATATAGTTAATACAACATTTAATATTGGTGTCATTATACTGGTACTCTTAGCAGTATCACCTATTTCAATCTAGAAAGGAAATAGCAGTACAGGGAAGAAACAACATAGGATGTCTTTATATCTATAAACGTTGTTGTAGTGGGATGTTTTTCAGTAAAAACACATACCAGTAACCTAAATGGTTGTACTAGTGCCAGACCTTCTATATGAGACCAAGAGTCTCATAAGATTTAGATGTCTATACAACACCAGTTTCACTAGTGTTTTGGCAGGTAATATCATTTCCAGACCCACATACAAGCACCAGATCACATCTGAGAAAGAGATAAAGTCTTTAGTTACTTGACCATTTTGAAAGTATTCTTTTTAGGGTTGCTGAAATGTATAAGAATTGGCAAGTTAAAAAAATAAAGCAATCCTCTTCAAATGAACAAAATCAAACACAGCCATTCAGAAGAATCAGTAACAAAAGGAAAGAAATCTGTATTAGTGATGATTGTATTGGCAAGTCTTCTCTGTCCATAACACATACTTGTGGAAAATGGTAACTACAGCTGTAGCAATTCACACAATGCTGTCTGAATATTTTTATCTGAGACAAAGCTATGCTGTTATCTTCATGTATACAGAAAAAAAAACCAAGTTCTGGAGCAGATTAATTCAATAATATCTAGACTCCTAATTCCCTGATTTAGGTCCCAGGACAAGCTTAGAAACTTTCAGTGGAAGGAGAAAGAGGAATTTCCTTATTGTAGCTGATCCACAGGAAAACCTCAAGTTCATTGAAGTAGTCTATCAGTTTTAGGGCGCCTAGTGCTGGAAAGAAAAAAGGCAGCCCAAGCCTGCAGATAAGAGCTGCAGAGTGAGGTCAGTCAAACAGGTTAAGTTTATTTACCACCCATTCACATCAATGCTACTTCCAGCTCAGGAGAGCTGCTCAGGCACATAGCCAGGCATTTGCAGGGCAAGCCTCCTCAGCCCTTGCTTGGAGCAGCTTTAGGATCCAGGAACCACACCCTTGCTTCCTGTCAGAGCAGAATAAGCCTAGAAGTCACAAAACCTATCTATTGGTTACACTGCCAGAAATGTGCATGTGTGCACTCAGTCCACTACTAATTAGTCTTCCTGGCACCAAAGTCTCAATCACCTATCCCAGGCCAGACCATACTGTGGGACTGACAGTCCTCCTGAGACACACACAAGGTCCGAGCAAACACCATCAACCTTTCCCTCTTCTCACCCAAGATGCTCTCCTTTTCAGATAAAGACCACGACTATTACTGCTCATCTTGGTCTGGGAAGCAGTCTCAGTGAGGACTTTGGGATATTTGATCCACCAAGACTAGCAGGATTCATGAGATTGGAGCCTCATGCCACATAAAAGACTCCACTCTCAGTGAGTCTTTCCTAATCTGTGCCCAATCTAAACTCAAACTTGCAATTCCTGGACAGTACCAAAAGTACAATTACAACATTTCTGAGAGCAGAGCTCATAGTGCTGGGCTGAAGAAACATGAAGACTGCAGAGTCTTTCATATGGTAAGAAAATTGTACATGGGGAAGGCAATCTGAGGGACAGCTGCAGCTCTCTCAACCTTTCTCAGGCCAGGAAGACCTTCAGCCCCACCAAAAGTCCGTATCTGTTGCCAAAGATTAACCATCACTGTCAAAAAGACTTCCAGTATTTTCTTGACTTAAATATCTGAAAGGTAGTAGAATCTCAGCTAATTACTTATCATTACTATCACCATGATATCTGCATTATATCTTTAATAATACAAGAACATTGAAATAATTAGGGAGGCTACAGATAACTCAAAATCTGATATCCCTGAGCAGTTGCTTGGAAATATTTCCTCATTTTATTCCACATTTATTTATCCTTTGAAATAATTAAGCACTTAAACACTATTGTTTGCTTACATACCAATGCACATTTCTGACATGAACAAACACAAAGTGAAAAGTAACAAATTGCTTATCAGGAAGGTACATTTGTTTTGCATTTTGAAGAACATCTGTAGAAGTCTGAAGGGCAGAAATCAGATCCCTGAACGAGTTTACCATGGCTAATTGTTAGAAAAAAACCCCAACCACTTACATGTATTCAAGAGGGCTAGGAGACTTTGTTTTTGCTGTATGCCTCAAAGATTTCATTTTCAGAGAACTCAGCAAAGGATTCTGCATTCTTAACAATTCTGAATAATCAGGTCCAATTGTCTGAAATCAGTGATTAGGAAAAAAATAAACCCTAAATTTTGCCCAAGTGCTTTACATGAATGCCTGATATTTGCCTCTCCTAATTTTAAATTTTAGATTCAATCCACTGTTCACATTTCTAGGCATTAGCAGACATTTGATTGTTATTTTTTCCGTATGTTCAAACTTTTAGGTCCTAGGCCAAGCTGTGGCCTCAGCTGTGCAAATGTAAACCAAGCAACTGTATTCACTTGAGTGAGTTTCCATTAGCAAAGGCACAAGCAAGACTTGGCTCTCACACCTGATGTGCCTTACCACTCTAATAATCTCACGTTGGGATCTCAGGAACAGAAATACTTAAGTGTTCATAACACTTTGCTAAATATATATCTAAATCTATTGCAGGTCAGGCTTTTACTGAAGCACCATTTAATAATTGTTTGGCAAAAAAAAAGGGGCTACATTCATTGACCCGAGGTTCTAAATTTACCATTTGACTATATATTTTTCTTTAAATATGCTCTGACTCAGACACACATTCATTGCGATTTGTGTACACAGGTTTCATACGCTCAGCTCTGTTTGCTTTCTGTGTAAAACAGAAGAGGTCACTGTATCTGAACTTACAGCTAGACTAATAAGTAACTTGAATGCAAACAAATCAAGCAATCTTGATCTAAAATCAGCATGAACCAGTTGATTTTCTTCACTGAATCCCTGCAAATGAGCTAAGTGGAAGAAGGAAAGCATCTACTTTGGAGAAGACAAAGGGGAGCTTTTAGTCTTATAAATGAAATCTCACACAAGAGCCACTCTGCCTGACCAGGTGACCCCACTTTTCCCTCCCCAAGGTCCACGTGCTCCAGCAAACTCTGAGAGCCTTCTCCCAGCTCTTGGAAGGAGGGGAGAAGTTTACTATTGGGAGAAAGACTTTATAGCTCACCAGCTGTGTGAACAAACTCAGACATATTTGGCTTCTGTGAACTTGGCTAAATCAATGAAACATCAGAGCTCAAACTTGATGCTTTATTTCCTTTAGTCTGAGGTTCTGCTCACTATAAACGTGATCTGGAACAGCACGTGTGAGACTGTAAAGCAAAAAAGAAATGAAAACAAAATGTGATTGTACATGAGATCAATTCCATGCTGACGTGATAATACGTTCAAAATTCTCATTTCTGTAGAAAGCTGACCACAGGCACTTCATCAATCAGTATTTCGATTTGTAATGTGTTCCGTATGGTTCTCTGTCATTACTTAATGGGGAACATCCCCTCTGAAAACATCTGACTCTGAGCTCTGCATCGAGAGAGCTGCTCGTGTTTCAACCACGTTTCCCAGAAACTGAACACTCAGCAACATATTCATTTTAGTGACAGCCACCACTAATGAGAAACAGCCATGGGCTCGTTGAATCTTTTACAAGCCAAAGAAATTTATATTAGCAAGAAAAAAAATCTCACTACAACTGAATCTCTAGAATCCCCAAAATCTTGATTTTATCACCCTAAAGCTCATAGTGGGTTGGCACTTGTACTTGTCTATTTTTTATTTTATAGTATCTCTCTGTCTAGTTTTTGGGGGGATTTTTTGGTTGGGTGGTTTTTTTGTTTGTTTGGTTTTTGAGGTTTTTTTTGGGGGGGTGTTTGGGTTTTGGATTTTTTGGGGTTTTTTGGTAGTTTTTTGGGTTTTTTTAATTTCCAGTTAGGCCAGTTGTTCTGACATGTGTTCTGCATATCAGGTACAGGAAGCTGGGGCATGAATTGGAGAGTTTATCACAAGCTGAGAGGTGGTGGAAAAAAATAAGCCCATCAGAAGCAAAAAGCTCATACAACACTCAGTGATGGCATTGGAATAGAAGGAGCTAAAGAAACCAATTTAAAAATCTGTGGCATTTTGTTGGAGAGCTATATTATTTTCCTGCATCAGTTTTCCTTTCTCACTACATCAGGGAATTACTAATCTCAAAATTTCTTGGGTTTCATTGTTTTGTTTTAGGTTTAGGATTTTTTTGGGGGTGGGGAGGCATTTGTTTGGTTTTTTAATAAAGAGGAGCAGCTGTGCAAAATTTTGACTTGCCAACATATGAAACTTCTAAAAAATTACTGGACCCACAATACAATGCAAGTTGTGAGGAAACTAAAATTTCAGACTACATGAAAACAGCAACTGTTTCAGAAGACTGGAGGGAACAAGTGTCATCACCTTTTCCCGTGCTGGGGCAGAGACGAGTAACAGCCGACCCCGACATCATACCTTTATTTAGAAGAGTCTACTGGTTGTTCAAGGCATTACTTGGAAATTGTCATTAAAAGCAAAATAATAAATGACTGCACGTTCAGGATGCCACAGCGCCAAATCAGCAGAGTTTCTACAGAGAAAACTGTGTCTCAATAATCTTCTAAAACTTAAATCTATCAAGATTTATATATACCAACAAGACATTGACAAAGGATAATTTATTTCCATAGTGAGCCTGAAAGACATAAAGCAGGATACCAGGCAAGACACAGCTATGGTAAAAGTAAGATTAGCAACTCTGCCATATCATGGGCCACACTGTCCCTTACTCCCAGGGTCTTCAGCAGGATTTATTCCAAGAGTAAATGCTTAGAAATAGAAGGGTATTACAGTTGCCTGAATTTATGTTATGATCTTCTTCAAGGCAGCATACAAAGAATTTCTAAAAAAACCCCTTAAAATAGTGTTATAATTAATAGCATTTTGACAGCTAATCAAGTCAAAGAGATGAAAAGTCAACTCATGTACTGAACTCAAAGCAAGATTAAAACTTCTCAGTTTTTGAAACATACTTCAAAGGAATGTATTATGCTTCATCACACTAAGAAAGTTTACATTTGCTCCTAAATTCATTGCTTTTAAAACAATTGTCCCTCCTGAACCTCAGTTTGGTTTCAATGGCAATATTTCCACCTTCACTATAAAAACCAATGAAGTACTTTGTTGTTTATAAATAAAGAAATTAAATCCCAACCTCACAAGTGATACCAAGGCCACCTAGCTCTTTTTAGTTACTTACCAGATTCAAATAGAAGAGTCAAGAATTCCATCAGTCAGAGTAGCAACAACTAAAAAAAAAAAACAAACTCTTAGAAGTTTGTTGTGATGTGAGCAGCTGAGTCTCTGAAAAAGCATATCTATGCAAGAACTTTTATAAAGCATCCAAATGTTCCAAGCACGTTGAAATATAAGAGAGAACAGAGAATGCAGAAATCAAAAATCTTGCTAGCTAAAGGAAAGCATTTGAAACAAAAGAGAAGGAAAATACTAAAGCTAGAAATTAAAAGAAAGCAAGTCAGAGAAAGACATGAGACAGAGATCAAAATATCTGGATGAGCATTTGCAGGTTTACATAAAGGACTTTACATAAACTGACCTTCAAGACATGAGCAGTGTCACTTTACAGAAGAAAAACAGTAGACAATGAAAAAGAAACAAAAACAAAAAAAATTACAGGTTTGCTGATAGATTTCTAGAAGCAAAGCCAAGGAGAAGGGACTATAATGTTGTAATGTATAAGCAAAGCCTACAAGACCCCAAGCATAGGTATCAACACAGCCTCACAAAAAATGAGAGCAAATTCTCAGGGCACATGTTAAGTATCAGGCTAATCCAGATAACCAACTTGCAGGTGCAAAAAATTAGGTTGAAATTATGTTCTCTCAAAACAAGCAGCTGATTGGAAGCACACCTGAAGTTGACTTTTGGTGTGTGCCTCACCACCTTGCTGATCATTCAGATTATTCTCTTGACCTTTCAGTTACCTTCGTTCAGAAAGTTCATGTGTGTGTTGAACTGGGTCTCTTTTCTTTCATTTCATCTCTTAGCTGTTACAGAATGACTTTTCCACCTGATAAAGAGCTTGTCAGCTTTATGCAACCCTTGTTCCTGTGGGGTGTTGCAGTGTGCTTCCCAAAGATGTTGTCAGAGGCAAACTTCAACAACTGCTGAGTGTTCAAGAGTATTTTCTTCTAAGAATTCACATTTTGCCTCTGAAAAACAGATTATGCCAGATTTGATGCTGGCTATATTTTGAAATGAAACTTTTAGAGATGTTCCTTTTTTTTTTTTTCCAACAGGTTAAAGCTGTCAAGGATGCACCCGGCACATTTCAGCTGTTCAGAACCCAAAAACTGCAGCAGTGGTAGTAAAAGGTCTGCTGCTACCACTGTCCTACCTGATCAGGTGCAAACAGAAGAATTATCCTAATCCTCCTGCAGTGATAAGGGAGCAAGGTAGAAGTGTTGGGCTGTGCATATGCATAGTACTTGTCTGTCAGAGAGAAATTACTCAATGTTTAGTATACAAAAAGGTAAAACTGAGATGAACCACAAATTATTTTAGTCACAATACTAAATGTTTAGCTATTTTTCTCAGATATAATCCTGTTCACATTTCTTTTGAGAAAATCAGAAAGGCTTCATATATGCATGTCAGTATTTCTCAATAACAGCAGCAGTAATTGATAATCCCTTGGTACCAGAAAACGTGCAAAACATGTCATTTTGTTTTTCTTTGGATTATTGCATTCACAATAAATGTCATAATACTGCCATTCTCATAGGAAGTGAACAAATTGAGAGACCCAAACTCTGGCTAGTTGCTTGTGGGCACAATTTCAGAAAACTGAACTTTGGATACTCTACCTCTCCAAAACTGTCTTCCTGATTTTGGTTAGAAGGTATAGTTCAGGACTTTATTTTATGCAGGGAAAGATAAAAACCTTATGTTGGAGTATGTAGGCAAGCTGATCCAACCAATATGAATGGAAACAGCATCAGGCTTGAATTTGGAAAAACGGATTTCTGTTGTTTTTTCCTTAAAGGAGTTCAAGGCTTCTTACCACAGGCAGATAAGAGCTTGCAAGAACCTATTTTCAGTTTAATGCCGAACTGAATGGAAGCTCACCTTGCTCCTTCTGCACATAATCATGTTCCATAAAAACACCTTAGACCTCACTGACAAACAAGGGATAAATGAGTAGAAAGAAGTCTTTACAATGCCTTCAGCAAGTAGTTCCCTGCACTGCTTCAGCAGTTGATACCTCTAACACGAGCCTAGTGAGGGGAGGAGACACAATGTGTGCCTATCACATTTCATTTTCCAGGTACCTGCTGGGCACCAGCCTTGGGCTTCTGCTGCTACCACAGGCTTCCTATTGCTGATAATTAATTATTTATAGCTAACAATGTTAGTTATGTTCCCATTATTTATTAGAATCATTGTTGTGACTGCCCTGTTGCAGAAGGCTAAATCTCAGGTTCCAAGTTGGTTTTTATTCACACAGAATTATTCTCAGTAGGTAAAACCTGACTTTGGCATGATTATTTGGTCAGAATTACTCTTCATTTCCAGAGCTATGTGGCCACACCATTCCATGCACCTCCAGTAATAAACTTTTCTAGTTATTTAACCAAGAACACATGGGTTGCCACTGTCTTCCTTCAATCTGAGGGTAGAGAAAGTAATTTCTAATCATATTATTGTTTTGGTTTGGGTTTTTTTCATTCAAGAGTGAGGGAGAAGGTGACTCACATTCTGTTTGGAGTTCAGCAGCTGCCTCCTACTGTCCCCCTGAATCATCAGTTTGGTTGCAGCATTTCTGCCTTGGTCTTTATAGTTTGCAGAAAGAGCCTGATTAACCAGCCTTTGGTTTCATAGCCTTATAAAACATTCTTGCACAATTGGGCTAGCCAGCTATTCTTAAGAAGGGATGCAGTGAAATCTGAGAATTGGATTGTGAGGGGAATTTGCAGTGTCAAAAGGAATTTAATCACAATTATTCCTTTCACTCCTTTTGGCACTGATTTAAGTACTTACTTTGATATCAGGTTAGTATAGGAAAGAAGAACGGTCATTTTTAAAGGGACCTTTCTGCAGCCATCGGTGAGTATTTTAAATAACTGCCATGAATGGCATGTCAGCCTCATCAGCATTCTGAACTTTCACATAGTGTAGAATGTCTTTAGTAAAGATCAGTATATATCTGTTGTGTTCAAGGTTAATAAAAAAAAATTGATACAAAATTTCAGGAATGGCCTCCTGTCAGAGTCTTATTTTTCCATGGAATCACCAACAAGGAATCCCTGTAAACGGTTGCTGATGACACAGATGATTCAGAACATCAGAAATGCAGGTTCAGGTCCCACATGTGAGATTACAGAATGTTATTTTGATCCTCTTTTCATTAAGTGTATTGACAAGATTCTGGGTCCTATCACAAGCTAAACTTTGTGAATGTAGCTTTGAGCGCATAAAGCGGTTTAGGGACTTAGTAAAGACATCCTGATTTTCATTACATTAGATGTTCACTGTGGGGATCTGAGATTTATGCCCCATTATTAAGCCTGACCTTTAGCATGCCCTGATGTTCAGCATCCTTCAGTAACTTTCAGAGGGAATTTATGCCATGCTGCTTGCCATGTGTGACTAACATAGCAATGGGTTGATTTTCAGTTCTTGTTATGTGCTCTCTCCTTAAAAAGTGCTCTACAACAACAGCTATTAGTGACAAAAATAATAATCACCACCCTAATTTATGTTATTAGTTACATGGAATTACAAGACATGAGTTAACATTGGCTCTGCCCATAAAAATTGTAATTGTCTCCCCAAAATACAAATTAATTTTATGTCTGAGGAAGACTGCTAAGCAACAGTAACAAATGCCATATTTATTAGGACTAGCCCACTTAAATGGAATACATGAAGCTTCATAAATCTTATATTGCTTATGCAATATGCAAACACTAATTTCATATCAAATATGTGACTGACATTAACAACCTTTTCAGTGTGTCAAAGTAGGTGTCACTGTTAAAAAGCAATTTTTTAATAGATTCCTCAAAAGATGAGAAACAGAAAACCTTAACTTGGTAAAATACATATAAATGTCTTCTTGGCTACCACTGTTCTACTGATTTGACACTAATTCCAAAATACATAAAAACTTATACCATGTTATAGAAACATAATATATCAGAATTATACAATTATAGTAATAGCTATTTCTTATTTAATATTGTCCCTCTATAGGTAGTAAAAGCAGAAAAGTGTACAGATCTCTATTCCTGCTTAAGTTCAGCATAAGATAACCAAATTTTGATGAAAAGCACTCTTGTGCTTGACCAACATGGCATAATTTTAATATATAGGCAGCATGGTACTTCTGACATATTTTAATCGTACTGTTCTCTGTTTTCAAAATACTGACATATTTTTAAAATGTGGTGCCAGGTACTTTAGTTAGACTGATGTCACCTAATAAGCTGTATTGGAATTCAAAACATCACTTTTTCATATATCTTTAATCATTCACTGCATACAACACACATATGAATCTTTTGTTACGATAAATAAATGGAATAATTTCCCAACACGGCACATATTTATTCAGGATTCACAATCCCTTCCATTAATAACTGTAAGTATATTTCTCTGAATTTGTGTTGGGGAAGTTAATGCCCCAAAATCAGCATTTTCCACAGCAGCCCCATGGATGGTGCTCAGCCAAAGGCACAGCTGTTTGAGCAGCTCTTTGTGTGGGTTACCAGGGAATGACCACAGAAAGCCTGTTTGTGTGCTTCTCTGGGGGAAGGGATTCTGCACATGCACTCAAATGTATTTTCTACTCATGTTGTACAATCTCCTTCCAAGTTTTGAATCTCCTGGCACATTTTTATGCATCCTGATGATCTCATCATCATCATATAAAACATGACTTGAAGAAAGGGAAAACAGGTGGGGGCTCAATTTTAGTGATTCCCATTCTGCCCTCACTGCTCCTTCCCACCAAGCTGCCCTCCTTTTCCTCCTCCCTCCCCACTTCAGTTACCCAGCAAAAACCACCAAGGGAAAAACCAACCAAGAAAATGTTTCATAAGAAAAAAATCCCATGGCACCTTCTCCCTGACACACACACACACACAAGGCAGCTTTAGCAATAACCACAACCATCCACTAAATCAAAAAAGTCAACATAATGAACATACAAAAGTGTGAACTGCTAAACTGTGATATTCAGTTAGTTCTTGGCAGAACTGTTTTAAAATAAGTAGGGTTGACACTTGATTAGAAATAGACACTTTTTCTTTCTCTTTCTTTTTCTTTCTCTTTCTTTTTCTTTCTCCCCCTTCCCCCCACCCCCCTTCTTTCTTTCTTTCTTTCTTTTTAACTAGAAATGAATTATATTTGAATCTCACTGGAGCATAGATAAATGCAAGCTAACATATTTTTAACTTGATTACATTCTGCAGTGATATATAGAGGCACATAGCTACAGTAAGTGATTCCATGGAGAGAGAGGAGGAGGGAGGGAGAGAGGGAGGGGAAAGCCCTCTGCGAATATGATAAGGAAAGCTGGGATGAATTGTGGTCTCTGTTCTCTGTTATCCAAGGGTGGCTAGCTGCTGCTGCACTAAAGGCCTTTATTCCCTGCCTGTGGGAAAGTGGTGGGCGAAGGCTGCATTCTCAGTTACACTGCACATGCAGATTTTAATTAGCTGGATTAAAAACAAGACCGTATCATGTCCTTTAGCAGTATTCTATCTAGAAACAAAAGATTTTCTTTCCTGGCTTCTGCAAGCAGCACAGTACAGCATTAATAAAAAAAAGGTCATGGCAGTTCAAGATGAAAGGTCACACATGATAGAAACTCTATGTGAGGGGGACATCATGTTTATCTCTGTGATAAAGGA